TTATTTTTGCTCCTCCATGTTTAACGGTCTTGACGGTGTATTGTGGTAGGTTACCAGCATTTTGCGGCCTTCTTACGTACTGACGCCGACCTTTTGAACCAAAAAGAACCACTTTACTCTCGTCCGTCCACAAAACATTTCGCCATTTTGAGAGTGGCCAATTGACGTGAGTATTTGCAAAGCTTAACCTATTCTTCAAGTGCCGCTTGGTTAAAAGTGGTACCTTTCGTGGACTGTGGGCTTTCAAATTTGACTCCAGCAAACGTCTTCGCACTGTCACTGCACTCACATTAAGATTTAGCTTTTCCTTAATCTTTTGTGAACTAATATTTGGCTATCGTCTTACTAAATTAACAATTTTCCGGTCAGTTTTTTCATCCGTCAGTCGTTTTGGACCGCGAGTTTCGGGACGATTCTTGTATTTTAAGGCATTGGACACCATTTTTGCTGAACAACCAATTGTGTGTTGTATTTCTTTGTAGGTTTTGTTTTCCTGCCGCAATTTTTTTATCAAGGCTCTGGTTTCACTGGTACAATGTTTGGAACGTCCCATATTTCTGTAACCTGAAAGGTTTTATTTATCCTTATTGCTCGAATATGTTAAACTTACCAACAATAATTTGCTTTAAGACAGAAATCGTTTTTGCACGCAAATGATTCCGCTCGCTGGTCAGTTAATTGCAGAACTGCTATTATTATGAACAAGCCAAATTCAATGATTAAAGCGAAATGCGTCCGGCACCAAATGCCACGCTAACTTTGATCAAATTGAAATTCGTACGCATTTACTATACCGTTACCTTAAGCAGAAAACACAAATTAAAACGGAATTTCTTTTAAGGTTTGATCAGAGCGTTACGTTGCCGCATACCGCAGCTGGCACTGCTATTAATATGAACACAACTGTAAATAACCAAAAATACTTTAAAACCAGAGTACACTTTTCTTTTGTTTATAATTTGGTTACCAAACACACTACAGCAGCACGATTGAGAGAATACAATTCTATCATTCTTGCTACAGCAGATCGTTTGACTCATTTACCAGAATTTACCAGCAAAAAATTCTCTGACTAAAACTGGTAACTTCTGACAGCGAGAGAACCGTATTTACTCTCTTTTTTGTCCTCTCAATAGTCAGAGAACCGCGTACGGGATCGATTTCCAGTAAAATCTGTCAGATCCTGACTTTTTCTGACTGGTCTGGACTCGTACGGGATCGCAACATATAATAAGATGGAAAATACTAGTTTTCTAAGAAAATTGCATCGGAAAATAACAAATTAATCAGCTGCTCATAAAACTACTTAGCAGCTTCTTGCTGGTTTTACGTTTTCGTACTTTCTTGCATATTTCACTCATTGGGAGTAAATATTGGCTTAAAGCTTAAACAGACGGCAGCGCTGATCCCGATAAACTCGGTCTTAATCCGGATCAACTGCAGTTAATTCTCGAGCTGATCCGGATCAACGCTGTCGTCTGTTTATGCTTTTACACACCGAAATTTCGTTTCTGGCAACTTACTGGATATTTTTTGCTGGAGAATACGAAAACACAACTATTATGTGGGAGTTGTAATTTGATCATATAAAACAAAAATTGAATTTTGAATTTTTTATTAGTTATGACTAGGGCTCGGAATCTCATGCAAATGCACGTTTTTATTAGGCATCTGCAAATGGAAATGGTTAAGTTATCTTTACGAATCATGAAATTTTCTTTAAAATGGCATTCAATCGTTAGTGCGCAATTTGCAGTAAATGCCCGATTTTGCACATTTTGCAAAAAATAACCGATTTTGCATACTTCATGAGAAAATTCGCAATAGTTTTGCTAAAACACACCCTTGCCGATGTACGCTAAAGTAAACCTAAGTCTTGTCCTGGTATTTACAGAATGATACACTTACCACAAAAGAAAAACATTAAATTTTGTTTTTAGAAAAAACTTAAAACACTTGTAAATGTACATACATATGTATTACTCCCCTTGTTAAGGGGAAAATTAAACAAATATAAAAAAAAAAACTGTCTATTATCTCAAGCTTAATCTAAGTGTATTATAAACATGTTGAGCTTAATTACATTTCGTTTATATTGTCAAACGTTACCAAATCTTTAGCCATGCACAAAAATAGGGCCCCACAGAATGCATCCTTTTTTTTTTAATCCAGTGCACCCAGAGAAAGAGCGAAATATAAACACTGAAATATTTTTTATTTGCCGAAAGCCATCAGCAGCATACAACGTGAATGAGATAGACAGAAGGATTTTGTGATGCGTTGCATTTCATTTCCCATTGATTTTCACACTTTTGTTGCAGTGGCAAATTGGTGCCGCCACTTCCCGACGCAGAAAACAATTACGTACGAAAATACAAGTAGATATGCAAAAAATGGGGTTCATAGTTATTGTAAACACAATTTTAAATTGCATAAAGTGAAAATGCGATCGCCAAGATACAAGAAGTTACTTCGACAACGTAAACGACAGGGTGCTCTTTTCACTTCAAATCAGCACAGCTTTTTGTCGTTCTCATAACTTTTGCACATATATACATACATACGTGTATGAACTGCTACACATCATTGCATCACAAGTAAATATATGAATTTTCTATTACATTGGGCAAAATTTGATTCCACCCTATCGGAAGTGGTGCAGGTTATTTAACATTAGTAAATATGCTTAAGATATATTTTAAACCATTTTAGTCATGGAAAATCTAACATCTTTACACTTTGAGGTCACTAGGCATATGTATGTATATTACTCGTCTAGAAGCAGGTAAAATCATCAAATCAGACAATCTTTTTTGAATGATAATTTCTCACTCACTTGCACGAAGCTGGCCGTAGTAGTAGAGTAGTATTTAATTAAAACTACTTGTTTTAAATAGTATTTATTTGAT